TATCCCCTTTATATTACCCCTTACCCCTGATAATGTCCCCGGACTCCCCTCCTATCCCCTGTATCTTCTCTTCTGAAGAACATTTGTTTCTGGTTATCTCGCACAGGACTCATCTGCATGCAGTTTCACTGGACGGTGTGAGAATTAGCTCCAAACAGTAACGCATAAAGGACGCATCCACTCGCTGTAGTCTTCATTCAAGGGCTTCCTTGCCCACTTTTATTAAAGCAAAGTTCACAAAACAGAACAATTACCCTCGCAGGGGTTCTTTAGCATCTCGTGGCAGCACCTGCCCATCCAGCCTCCTGGCTTTGCAATTGCAGCACCGCTGTTCCGGCCTCAGCCCGCTGTCTGTACCTCCAGACAGTCACTGGTGTGTGCTAACCGGCACATTTTCCAATCCGCAGCACCCGGCTTCTCTGGCCTCCACTCTGTCTCCCAGGTGGAGCCTTGAACCCTTCCCAACACCTTTATTTTAAAGGCTGTGCACACCTGTGCCATCAGCATGCGCTGGCCACTCAAATTCTGGACACAGGAATGGAGATAACACAGTGGCATTGCCACCCACTGCCACAACGGATAAGCTATGCAATTGTGTTTTTTAAATAGACCCCCTGCTGATATTGTCAAGCTTGTTGATGGCACAGAGTTGTGTAAAGTCATTGAACAGTTCAACCCTCACCCCTGTAGTTATAGTAGAACTGAAGACAAAACGTTTTGGATATACAGTAGTAAGGGAGGGCTATAACCTCTATATCTCCCTCTGATCAATGTTTATAAACAATGTTACTTTGTATCTCTCTATCTCCCTCTGATCAATGTTTATATACAATGTTACTTTGTATCTCTCTATCTCCCTCTGATCAATGTTTATATACAATGTTACTTTATATCTCTCTATCTCCCCTCTGATCAATGTTTAATGTGGTCCCTGGTGAGACCACACCGTCCAAGTGGGGCCGCAGACAGGCCTGGTTAGACTGCACAGCCCTAGTGAGACCGTGCAGCTCTGGTGAGACCCGCACGCAGCCCTGGTGAGACCGCAGATAGCCCTGGTGAGACCGCAGATAGCCCTGGTGGGACTGCACATAGCCCTAGTGAGTACGCACAGGCCTGGTGAGACCACACAGATTTGTTGAGACTATACACAGACCTAGTGAGACCGCAACTCTGATGAGGCCCTCACGCAGACCTGATGAGACCGCACACCTCTGATGAGACTGCACAGCACTTATGAGATCCTCACGCAACCCTGGTGAGACCCGCACGCAGCCTTGGAGAGACAGCACAGTCATGGTGAGACCTACACAACCCTGGTGAGACCACACACAGCCCTGGTGAAACCGCACAGCCATGGTGAGACCCGCACGCAGCCCTGGTGAGACCTGCACAGCCCTGATGAGACCTGCACAGCCCTGATGAAACTACCCACAGCCCTGGTAAGACCTCGCACATCCTCCTGAGACCCTGCACAGCCCTGGGGACACCTCGCACATCCTCCTGATACCCCCTACAGCCCTAGTGAGACCACACACAGCCCTGTTCGGATGCCGCCCAGCCCTGGTAAGCAACACAGAATATGTAGCTTCATTTTATTCGCGATTGTTGTATAATGTATTGCTGGTATTTGTAGTCCTCTATTGCTGGTGGTATTCTGCATTGTTATTGAATGTATTGCTGAGATTTGTAGTCCTCTATTGATGGTAGTAATCTGCATTGCTATATAATGTACTGCTGGGCTTTGTAGTCTTCTATAGCCGATGGTATTATTTTGCATTTATTGTACAATGTATTGCTGGGATTTGTAGTCCCCTATTGCTGATGGTGTTATTTTGCATTGCTGTATAATGCATCGCTGGTGGTATGCCGCATTGTTCAGCCAGAGTAGTTTCTTTTTATTCCTGATAACATTGTGTAGCCATATGTTACGGTTTACATTGTATTAATATTTACTGTTAAGCAGCACAATGTCCATTCTTCTTCAGATAAGCCAGAGAGGAATGTTAGTAGGTGGGTGTAGCGTTTTCTGCTGTTGCCTTGTAGCTGTCTCCCTCAATGGAATGAAGGTGAACACTTGCAGTTGCCTAGGGGGCAACTGTCGACACGGGATCCAAGCTACGTTGACAAGGCAGCCGGACGCTTTCTGTACTCTGCACGACATGCATATGACTGGACGGCACTGACGTACATATGACAGGACACTGTTAACATGCATCTGAATACTGAGCTGATTACATGTTCAGTCTACCTAACATTGATATTTTAGGTTAAGTTTGGAGGGCAGAATCACTCCCTGGAATCCTGGACCATCTGAGGATGCCCACTTTGGGCTGTTCACCCTCCTTACATTCTCCATAAGATAAAATCCAGCATGGATGCCAGAAGGCGTGCAGTCTCTGGAAATTTCACTAATGCCGTCCCTACGTGATAGAGAAGACGTCACCTTGTGATGGAGGAAACAACTGGAACTGCCAGACCCCATGTTGGCCTATGGGAAATCGGATGTAGGCAGACATATGTGACAAGATTTTCGGCACAATCAGGTCTGGCGAAACGGATCTCTGATCCTTTCGACTTTCCGGACCTGGCCGTAGTCAGGGGTAACCGGATGTAAGCAGACACACGGCTGCCCGTAGACTAACATTGGGCATCTGATTGGGTCAGTCTGAAAAACTGACAGGTGGACCCGATCGGACCGGCCGTGTGAAAGAGGCTTTTATTATTCAGCATCCACCAAACTGTGAAATATCAGTACTGGGTAGAGTAATCCTCATTAGAGAACTTGGTGGACATGTACAAAACACTCTGGTTGTCCCCCACCTACGCCATGACGGACCCAGATAATGTAATCTGATGTGGTCCCTGCTAGTGAGAGGCAGATCTCCTACGACACCGGTGTCATCTGATGATAAACTATTAGTGTTATTATCTGAAGTCTGACGCTCACTGATAGCAGTCGGGTCTGCAGGACGTGAGCACAGAGAACCTCCGGCCTCTGTAAGTATACACATCAGACTCTTCTCATGAGCCGCTCCAGAAACTGACCGCACGCTAATGTGCTAAAATGTCGACACTTTGTAAGAAGTCATTAAGTATCACTGGATATACTTTGGGTGTTATGCATTTCCGGTTGTGATGGATATTTATATATTGATGTATAGCTGTTTGTTAGATACGCCTTACCTGAGGAAGGACTAATGTTGGTATGAAACATTTCTACATCTGGCATGTGCATTATATATCAAAAATATTCATCCACTCACTTGTTATACTTAATGTGGAATTGTTCAAGAAACTTTTGGACGATTTCTTAAGGGACCGTAATATACAGGGGTACAGGTACTCCTAGAATGAGATCCTAATAGGTTGGACTTGATGGACTAATGTCTTTATTCAACCTCAAATACTATGTAACTATGTACATGAGGTGCTGAAGACAAAGGACTATTGGATTTTGTTCTATGTATGAGAGAAGAAGCGGTAAACTCTCACTTCTGCATGCACCCATCTGGGTTGGATGATTAGTGCCCTCTACATTGTCTTGCTTTGTTTTATTTATATATATGTCTCTGTGTCTAAGGTACTACATGTCCAGGCATTGTTATATAGATATACTAGCTTTTTATATTGAGTCAATCTTTGTGATCTAAACTTTCTGACAATCATTTGAAGCAGATTTTAGGTTAGCAGCTCCAGAGTCTTAGTGCAAGCTCATCTCTGAATCCAGGCCATAGAGCCAACTAGCAGCTCCAGAGCCTTAGTAAAAGCTCATCTCTGAATCCAGGCCATAGAGCCATCTGCCAGCTACAGAGTCTTAGTACAAGCTCATCTCTGAATCCAGTCCAAAGAGCCAACTAGCAGCTCCAGGGTCTCAGTACAAGCTCATCTCTGAATCCAGGCCATAGAGCCATCTGCCAGCTCCAGAGTCTTAGTACAAGCTCATCTCTGAATCCAGGCCAAGGAGCCAGCTCTCAGTTCCAGAGTCTTAGTACAAGCTCATCTCTGAATCCAGGCCATGGAGCCAGCTCTCAGTTCCAGAGTCTTAGTACAAGCTCATCTCTGAATCCAGGCCATGGAGCCAGCTCTCAGCTCCAGAGTCTTAGTACAAGCTCATCTCTGAATACAGGCCATAGAGCAAACTAGCAGCTCCAGAGTCTTAGTACAAGCTCATCTCTGAATCCAGGCCATAGAGCCAACTAGCAGCCCCAGAGTCTTAGTACAAGCTCATCTCTGAATCCAGGCCATAGAGCCATCTAGCAGCTCCAGAGTCTTAGTACAAGCTAATCTCTGAATCCAGGCCATAGACCCATCTCCCAGCTCCAGAGTCTTAGTACAAGCTAATCTCTGAATCCAGGCCATAGAGCCATCTTCCAGCTCCAGAGTCTTAGTACAAGCTCATCTCTGAATCCAGGCCATAGAGCCAACTAGCAGCTCCAGAGTCTTAGTACAAGCTCATCTCTGAATCCAGGCCATGGAGCCAGCTCTCAGTTCCAGAGTCTTAGTACAAGCTCATCTCTGAATCCAGGCCATGGAGCCAGCTCTCAGTTCCAGAGTCTTAGTACAAGCTCATCTCTGAATCCAGGTCATAGAGCCATCTTCCAGCTCCAGAGTCTTAGTACAAGCTCATCTCTGAATCCAGGCCATAGAGCCATCTGCCAGCTCCAGAGTCTTAGTACAAGCTCATCTCTGAATCCAGGCCATAGAGCCATCTCCCAGCTTCAGGGTCTTAGTACAAGCTCATCTCTGAATCCAGGCCATAGAGCCATCTCCCAGCTCCAGAATCTTAGTACAAGCTCATCTCTGAATCCAGGTCATAGAACCATCTCCCAGCTCCAGGGTCTCACCAATCCTATTACTCACCACTATCAAAGCAAAGTATGTATGAGGTGGCTTTATGAGAAGGAATTACTTTCACCCCAAGGGATGGGGGTCTTTGTTTAAGCCTGTGTTGTTGTTTTGCCCATCGGGTGCCTCTAACTCTCTCTTCTTTGTCCTCTCAGGATGACATGCATAGGTGGGATCCATAGAGACACATATCATGGGAAATACAAAAAGTAAAGCAAGAGGTCAGGTTCAAGTAGATGGCACAGAGCTTCGCCACCATGCCAACTTACAACAGGCCAATTTACGTTCCCTATACCGGCCCACCACTGCTGATGCCAAGAAGAAGAAGAAGACCACCCCACTCGCCCTGAATGGAGCTCAGGTTTGACATATCATGATAAAAATACTAGGAATATCTTAGAAAGATGATGCCAACCTAAAAACTAAATAAGAATATATATAATAAGAAAATATTAAAAATAAAATAAGAAATACTAATGTACATATAAAACCCAACTCCAGCATAATTTTTTCTTCTTCTTCATTTTCCATAAAGCAGGGATGGTTTTGAGCCTCTGCCATTTTTTTACTGGTGCTCCTACAGGGTAGATTTTCTCTTACTTTCTAGTAAGACAGGAGGTAAGGATACATCTCCTCAATTGAGATACAGAGAAAAAGACATGTTTATAAGAGCAGGCAAAGGTTAGGACCTCTGACAATGTTTTAATTGCTGCTCATGCCTGCCTGTGCCAGTGACAACCCCATTTCCGCTACAGATGCCACGAGGACAGAGGTAAGGAGTTAGGCATTTTGGCTGGGAGCTTCCAACCGAAGTGACACTAATCTTCTGTCATTTGGTCACAAGCCCAACTTTAGGTTGAGGTGTGATGGATGTTCATTCAAGGGTTTCTCGAGTGATGGAGGCCACTCCTTAATATGTCTAGCATACGAATAATATGTATAAACTAATGGAAGGATTCCCTCAGTAACACAATTTTACTCCAGAACATCAGAATGTCTGTCTCCTCATCTCTGGCCCTTCTTGAGATAGGGTGTCTCTTACCCTATGTGGCAGCCATTGAGCTGGTGTTTCTTCTCTTCTCTGGTCCTCATTAAGCTTGGGTGTCTACTCGCTCTGCCCCCCTCCTTCGAATTGTGTGTTTGAGGTGGTGTATCTCTTCCTCTCTGTCCCTTCTCAAAATGGCATAACTCCTCTCATTGGCTCCCCTCAAAATGATGTTTTTCATTCTCTCAGGTCCCCTTTTGAACATGAATGTTGTCTACTCTCCATGTTCCTATTTAAACTTCTCTGTCTCTTGCTCTTTGGTTCTCCTTGAGCTGTTTCTTTCTCTTACCTTCTCCTTCTGTTTGACTCCTCATGACCTTGTTTATCATTTTCTTTCTTTGGCCCTCTTTGAGCTGGTGTGTCTTATCCTTTCTTTGGCCCTCCGTTGAACTGATGTCCTGCCTCTTTTCTGGCCCTCTATAAGCTAATGTGTCTCTTCCTCTCTGGCCCTTTGAGCTAATATATCACCTTCTCTTTGGACCCACTTTAGCTGATGTGTCTCCTACTGTATCATCACTCTTAAGCTGCATTGTCTTCTCCATTTTAGTCCTCCTCTTTCTGAAAGTCTTCTCTCTGGTCCTTCTCGATCTGGTGTGAGCTCGTGTGTCTCCTCTGCTCTGTCCATTGTGTTTATCTTTTCTTCTGTGAAACCTTTCTTCTTCTTCCTCTCTGACCATTAGAATGTTCTTTGTTATCTTCTGATTTACTATCATTTGTTTGCAGATTAACATCCTTAATTCCTGGGTTTCAAAACATATTAAGAAAAAAGAGTGTGTTGCTTTCATCCCACAAGAGTCTAGCGAGGGGTAAGTACATCATCTACAGTAGAGTTCTTTAGGTATTTTTGAAATATTTTTGCTAAAGTGATAAAAGTTATTGACCATTGTGTTTTATTGTGTTTTATTGTGTTTTATTGCAAAGGGAAAAATTAGGTCTCTTCTTTGTTACTACATATTAGCTGGTCTACTATGTCACCAATGCCCTGACCCTTTAAATTCTTGATTGTAGTTTCAAAGTCCTTCCAGTCTACAACAACACTAATGCCTTTTGCTGTGGCCTAAGCATCATGCTATTAATGGGCCTATGTTTTAAGGATCCTATAGATTCCTGGTTTGTTGTGTGTGTAGTGGAATAGGTCTTCAGTTTTGGGTTCAATTTGTCCTTTTCAATAGAGAAATCAAATTATAGGGAAAGATATTTGACAGATTTTCTGTTCCTCACTCAGAGAGACCTGTGGATGTGGTAATGCCAGAGAGTCACACTACCATGGCCTCTCACAACCTGTTGTGCCACCTGAAACCAAGTGGGAACCTCAGAAGCATGTCAAAGAATTCCCCAGTGATGCACATGGGGACATGACATTTACAGGAACCACCAGGACCTGGGCCAAGGTACGTTAACAAAAATTCTGAATTTCCCTTTGAAGCTGAAAGCTTGTTGGGTGGTGAGGGACATCATTGTATGCCATGGAAGACTGGAGTGCTGTTCACCATCTTGTCATATGATAGTTGGGTTTACACATCTGGCTGTATAAGTTACATTGGGCTCTATTTCTCAACAGTATGTGCGAGCATCGTGTGACACTCGTCCCAGGGTATTGTTTGAGCTGATGACAGAGCAGTGGGAGCTCCGTGTACCAAGTCTTCTCATATCTGTGACAGGGGGAGCCAAAAACTTCAACATCAGCCCAAGATTGAAGACCCAATTCAGCCGGGGCCTTGTGAAGGCTGCACAAAGCACAGGTAATGGGGCTTCTGTCCTTCTATTTCATTGCCACTGCTGTCCTCACTTATAATGCTTGCTCTATTGATCATCATCTGCAGTGACTGGTAAGGAATGGAGAGAATATTTTAAGGCAATGTTTAACTTTGCTATATAAAATGGCCACTAACAGGTACAAAGCTGTAACACACCTAAGGCTTCAAGTTTAAATTGAACATCTCAGTATCTTTACAAAGTTGAAGAAAGTTGGTGAGGACTTTACAAGTCTATATAAATAAATTCATGACTTGTCACAATATACAGCAAAAGTATCATTTTTTAGAAACACTGACTTTCATGATAAAATGCCATCCTGGAGCTCCAGTCATATTCCTTTGCCTGATCTCCTCAGTCATGCTAGGTCCACTTTCATACACAACATGGCCAAATGTATGTCTACACCCCCCCTAATGTTCCATCATACAAAGACATTTTTGGCAATTGTTTTCTTCCAACTTTGTGGTAACAGTATGGGAAGAGCCCTTTTTTTTGTTCAAGGTCTGTCCCCTATGAGCAAAGACAGCTCCATAAAGGCATGGTGTCACCAATTTGGTGTGGAGGAAATAGAGTGTCCTCCTCTGGGCCCTGACCTCAACCCTACTGAGCTCCTTTGGGATGAAATAAAATGCTGATTGAGCCAGATCTTCTCATCCAACATTAGTACCAGACCTCACAAATGCTCTTTTGACTGAATAGGCACAAAATTCCACAGACACATTCCAAAAACTTGTGGAAAGCCTTCCTAGATGAAAAGGAGGCTGGCAAAGCAGCAGGGTAGGGAAAGGGGCTCTATAGTAATGGCCATAGTTTTGCAACTGGATATCCAACAAGCACGTATAGGTGTGTGCACATACTCATATAGCGGGGCTGTAACTAGAATCACAGGGCCCCATAGCAAAAGTTTGTATGGGGCCCTGTGATTTTAAGTTATGCCCCTTGTAGAGCCCACCTGGTATGCCAAATAGCCCACCTGAGAGTGACCCTGCAGATCCCACCATAGACACTCTATGGTGAGCTCTGCAGGGTCTCAGGTGGGTTGGTCACACCCCTGCACACCTCTTACCTGTCAGCCCGAATCCACCGTCCGCCTCCTCGTCAGTCACTGGCCGGCCCCGCCTCCTCCTGCACTGCCGATGCCAGGCCCCGCCTCCACCACTGCCAACACCGGGCCCAGCCTCCTCCTCCGCAGCTGATGACTGTCACAGTCTCAGCAGCAGCTGTGAGGAGGAACAGGTTGTCAGTGATCTGGACAGCAGCGCGTTCCTCCTCACAGCCGCCAGTGCCAGCCAGCAGCCTGCGATGCCATAGCGGCCCACACGGCATCAGGGGTACCCCTTTTTTCCTTGTCCTGGCCGGGCCCCCCTGTGCCCCGGGCCCCATAGCGATTGTTCCGCCACTGTCATATTGTGTACACACAGAAATGCAAGCATTAAAGTGGCTCAGAGAAGAACTGTTACTTAATGGCTAGCATAGATATCATCTCCATCTTTGCTTCGTGTGTCCTGGTCTGGTCCACGTCCCATCCATCCAGTTTCCTCTTTTCTTCCTGCATGTGTTTGAAACCTTTACATTTTTCTGTTTAGGACACCTCGATAGATTAATTCTCCGTCAGAGATTAAACAAATGGCTGGCTTAATTCAGAGCTGAATTGTAGGACACAATAAGACAACATAAAGTTGTGCTAGCTACATACAGTAAATAATAATAATTAAAAACAAAAAACAAAAACAGAATTTATGACCACTGTGCCTCAGAATTGAACACATCGTAACATTTTGTGCACTCATTTCAATGCCAAGCCACATCCCCCCTTGTATTCTATCCCAGGAAATGAATTTCTTCCTAACATATTTAGTTACATTGAGAAACATATATATCCATGAATAAAGAGAAAACACACTAATCCTAAGGTCCCATAGATGAACCAGAGGAACACAACAAGCTAATAAAGCCAGGTCCAATTTGGCATTACAGGAGCTAAGCAGTGACGTGCGGTACCTCTTGCTCCGGGTGAGGCATTCCCCAGCCTCTCCCCCAGCACGTCCCGGTCCCGCCGGGCAAAGCCCCACCCCACCCGCTGCAGGACGAAGCCCCGCCCCAACCTGTCCCCAAGCTAGTGTAAAGGAGGAAGGGAGGAGACAGAGAGGAGCCTCCCTGTCCCTTACTTGCTCCTCACTGCTGAGGCGCTCCATCCATGACAGGTTACACAGCGGGGAGGATTTCCCTGCTGTGTAACCTGTTAGATGCTGATCTGAATGGAGAAAAAGCTGTCAGCTTCAGACTTGCAGCTGACAGCTTTTTCCTCCATAATTCTAGGGGTGAGGCTCTGTCTCACCTGCCTCCCCTGACCGCACGTCCCTGGAGCTAAGGAACCCAAGTGGCTTCTTGGCTCAACGACCTTCTGTGTATTTGTATTGTGCCTTTTGCAGTGACCATTCCTCTGAAGTTTGTACGGGGCTTTTATTAAATGTATTCAACGTGATTCTATTATCACTCCTTCACCTTTTCTCAATGTGAATACATTCAGTTTCATTTTTCTTTCCCCTTACTAATTTAGTTTTGGGGTTGGACGGACGAGCAGGCTGCGCTGTACATTTAGCCCTGCTTGCCCACAGCGGGCTAAATGCACAAAACAACTACCCGCACCCCGCAGGAATCCCTGCCGCCCCTCTGTTCCCTGCTGCCCTAAGGCAGGGCCTCGGTTGGCCTTGTGGGAAATCCGGCCCTGCCTGCCCTTCCTTTGCTGCTACACAATAACAGCCCCCACTCTTCTGGTAAGGCTTTACACAACATTTTTAAGTGTGGTGTGGGAATCTGAGCTCATGCAGCCAAAATGGATGATAAGACCTGGCTCACAATCAGTGTTTCAATTCATCCCAAAGCTGTTCAGTAGGGTTTAGGTTATGGGTGTGTCCAGGCCACTTCATGTTACACTCAAGAAACCATTTCTTTATGGAGCTGAATTTGTTCACAGGGTCACATTGATGCTGGGACAGCAAAGACTCTTCACTAAACTCCTTGCCACTAGGTTGCAAGAGCACAATTGTCTAAAATGTCTTTGTATGCTGCAGCATTACCAGTACCCTTCACTGGAAACACCTGAATGTAATAATCTGGGGTGGTGTACATATACTTTTGCCCAAAGTGGCATGGCGTTGCAGAAGGTGAGGTGCCCCAAGAGCTAGGGATATTCTGTTTTTCCATTTATCCAATCTCTCCAACTCTTCTTCCGTACAGGGGCCTGGATCATCACCGGAGGGTCTCATGCCGGGGTCATGAAACATGTAGGTGAAGCCATACGAAATTTTAGTGGAGGCGAAGCAGACTCTGAGATTGTCCTGATAGGCATTGCCACCTGGGGCATCGTCCACAACCGAGGATCGCTGATCAGCGAGGCGGTAAGGAGTTGACATATCCTGCAGCAACTTCAATTGTCCACTGTAATGAGGAGAATACAGCTTGAGTAGAGTTCTTCCATAAAGGCATACATGTTTTCAGGTCAGCCTGTGTGACCACTATGGCTCCTTACATAGATACAGTAGGAGAAATGAGTGTAGGCACGAAGGGACAGGAGGTGTTATTTGCAGGATCGCCACGTGAATATAAAGACAGGCTACGGCTGTTAAAAAATGTATATTCTCAAGAAGCATCAAATAAGCTTTAAAATAAGCCCCCCTCCACTTACCTCTGAAGCTGCAGGCACTGTGGAGCAATTCACCTTCAAATTTGGAGTCGAAAAAGTGAGGTATTTCAAATCAGGTCTCAGCACTCTGCTCTGCCCCTCTTTCTGTATATCTGCTCTGTGTTTACATGAGAGATTAGAAGACTGACAGGCTGTCATCTCTGCTGTGAGTGGGAGCAGGGTGAGCTGAGCTGCTGAAAACCAACCAAAGTGAAAATGTTCCATAATCTGAGACATACCCGGTAGTAGGAACAGAAACATGAATGCAAATGTTGCAGAACTTGTTATTGCTCAGATGGACTAACTAGATGAATAGAAAAATATCTTCCTATGTAGTCTAGAGGTCCTGTTATTTTATGACTCGGTAGTAGACACAAAGTTTTAAAGCAGATGCCGTTCACGGACAGTTACTAGACACCTTGGTATGTATAGCCACATAAATCACAGTTCTACAGGTTTGGTGGGAACTGCCAATTTTTATGCGCCCACTGGCTCTCACATTTCTTCAATAGTGTCATGACTCAATGTCAGATGTAAAAGTTTCTCATTCATGTTCTCCTCCATGTGAATTTATCTGTAGGGGGGAGCTCCAGCCCTGTACCCCATGGATGAAGGATCACAGGGGAAGCTGTGCTGTCTGGACAACAACCACACGCACTTCATACTGGTAGATGACGGGACACAAGGACGTTACGGGATAGAAATACCACTGAGAACTCGCCTGGAGAAATTTATCTCTTCAAACATGAAGAGATATGACAGAGATTGGATGGTACTTTCTGGGAAAACTCATCAGACTCCTTCATGTCTACCATTAGCAGAGTTTACCATTGTATGGTAGTGAGAGATATCATAAGGATGGCCCAGAAGTGACCTGTGCTTTGGAAAGTGTCTTTCCCCTGACTCAGCCAAGGATATATCACTAGTAGAGTCCATGAGCAAAAGCACAAGGATGGCCCAGAAGTGACCTGTGCCTTGGCAAGATATATATCTCACCAGTAGTGTCTATGAGCGATATCATAAGGATGGTCCAGAAGTGACCTGTGCCTTGGCCATATATATCTCACCTGTAGTGTCTATGAGCGATATCATAAGGATGGTCCAGAAGTGACCTGTGCCTTGGCAATATATCTCACCAGTAGTGTCCATGAGCGATATCATAAGGATGGTCCAGAAGTGACCTGTGTCTTGGCCATACATATCACACCAGTAGTGTCCATGAGTGATATGATAAGGATGGTCCAGAAGTGACCTGTGCCTTGGCAATATATCTCACCAGTAGTGTCCATGAGTGATATAATAAGGATGGTCCAGAAGTGACCTGTGCCTTGGCAATATATCTCACCAGTAGTGTCCATGAGCGATATCATAAGGATGGTCCAGAAGTGACCTGTGCCTTGGCAAAATATCTCACCAGTAGTGTCCATGAGCGATATATTAAGGATGGTCCAGAAGTGACCGGTGCCTTGGCAAAATATCTCACCAGTAGTGTCCATGAGCGATATATTAAGGATGGTCCAGAAGTGACCGGTGCCTTGGCAAAATATCTCACCAGTAGTGTCCATGAGCGATATCATAAGGATGGTCCAGAAATGACCTGTGCCTTGGCAAAATATCTCACCAGTAGTGTCCATGAGCAATAGCATAAGGATGGTCCAGAAGTGACCTGTGCCTTGGCAAAAACTGACATGTATTCTTATGTATTTTCCTTTCTTTATCTCAGGAACAGCCATTAAAATCCCCATAGTGTGTGTGGTGCTGGAAGGAGGTCCCGGAACATTGGACGTGAGTTCATAAATGCCCAAACGGGTCTATAGATGCCATATGGTAGGCCTATCACAGAAATGTTTCTTAACCTGAAAGTTGCCTCTGAGTGATGATGTCTTTCCAGATTGATCCATATCTTAAAGGTGAACTCCTGGGACACAAACATTCAGGGGATATAAATCCATTTTGTGAGCACCAAGTGCCTTTGAAAGCCACGTTATTACCTTGTACAGCCTTCCAGTATAACTCTAGAGATACACCACTAAATCTGTCCATAAGGATGAAATTCTTCAGTAGAGTGAACCCAGAGATTGATCTGTAGCTCCATCTGCTTGCCCAGCCACAATGCATGTGACCTAGCGGATTTAGTGTTGTATCTCCAGAGTTATACTGGAAGGCAGTAACCTGGTATATGTTCCTGTCCCGTTACAGGGTCTATCCAGGAGTCTTGTCCATGGTGAAGTTTGGTTCTGAATGTGTTGAACAATTGTGTAAATAGATAAATATCTCAACATTGCCCTCCTTGGTTGTGTGATCGCTATGTCCCATTCGTATGCTGCCATGTTGGTGTCAGGAAAACTGAAAATTGTATACTTACCTATCGGTAATTTTCCTTTCTTGACGCCAGTGCATGGCAGCATACGGGACCCTCCCATGGCTTTCGCATTGAGTTCTTGTTACGAGAATGGTGGCCTTGGGAGGCGTGTTTTCTATTTATAGTATAACTGGTCCTGTGATCGGGCAAGGGGCGGAGCTAAACCCATTTGTATGCTGCCATGTATTGGCATCAGGAAAGGAAAATTACCGACAGGTACGTATACAATTTTCCGTTATATATAAATCACAAGGAGGTACTTATTAGGTAAAAGAGTGTCTTGAAAAGTCGAGGAGGATGAAACGCATTGAGTGGAATTTGTTGATGCCACTTCTCTCCGGGGAGTGGGGTGAAGACCGACAAACCGGATTACTTTCTGGACTTGTAAGTGCATTTGCTTTTTATATTCATGCCTTATGTAAAAAATGTTATCCTATAAGTACCCCCTTGTGTTTTATATATGATGGATTATCGAGATACATGGTGACACTGGAGTGGTTGGAAAAGAGGTTATAGTTGTCTACATGCTTTCCTGAAAGAGAATTCTACAGAGATGCCTCGGATTATTTGACTATTCTGAGGAATAACGGTGGATGTGATTTCCCATGAAGAACCTCTGATGCATTAAGTAGCAATCTGACCTTTGTATATTCATCCATCAGGTCACATTCTATCTGGTGAGTGTGTGGAGGTTGATGGGAGCACGATGGTGTATTACATGGACGCACATCTTGGATTATTGGCAAAAGCACTTGAAATAGACTATTTGTAATTTAGATATTGATGGACATGCTTAAGTATGGACTATTTATATACACTTTATTGCCAAAAATATTGGGACGCCTTTACACGCACATGAACTTTAATGGCATCCCAGTCTTAGTCCGTAGGGATCAATATTGGGTTGGCTCCGCCCTTTGCCGCCATAACAGCTCCGCCTCTTCTGGGAAGGCGTCCGCAAGGTTTAGGAGTGTGACTAATGAAATGTTGGACCATTTGTGAGGTCAGGTACTGATGTTGGGGGAGGGGCTCGCAGTCTCCGCTCTAATTCATCCCAAAGGTGTTCTATCGGGTTGAGGTCAGGACTCTGTGCAGGCCAGTCACGTTCCTCCACCCCAAACTCCCCCATCCGTGTCTTTATGGACCTTGCTTTGTGCACTGGTGCGCACTCATGTTGGAACAGGAAGGGGCCGTCCCCAAACTGTTCCCACATAGTTGGGAGCATGAAATTGTACAAAATGTCTTGGTGTGCTGATGCCTTAAGAGTTCCCTTCACTGGAACTAAGGGGCCAAGCCCAACCCCTGAAAAACAACCCCCCCCCATAATCCCCCCTCCACCAAACTTTACACTTGGCACAATGCAGTCAGGCAAGTACCGTTCTCCTGGCAACCGCCAAACCCAGACACGTCCATCGGATTGCCAGACAGAGAAGCGTGATTGGTCACTCCAGAGAACACGTCTCCACTTCTCTAGAGTCCAGTGGCGGCGTGCTTTACACCACGGCATCCCACGCTTTGCATTGCACTTGGTGATGTGCGGCTTGGATGCAGCTGCTCGGCCATGGAAACCCGTTCCATGAAGCTCTCTACGCACTGTTGTTGTGCCAATCTGAAGGCCGGAGGTCTGTAGCTATTGACTCTGCAGACAGTTGGCGACTTCTGCACACTGTGCGATGAGCATGCGCTGACCCCGCTCTGTCATTTTACGTGGCCTACCACTTCCTGGCTGAGTTGCTGTTCCCAGTTGCTTCCACTTTGTTATAATACCGCTAACAGGTGACCGCGGAATATTTAGTAGCAAGGAAATGTTACTTCTCCTGCCTTCTCCAAACTCTTCACCCTTTTGTGAATAACCCTGATAGTCTTTTATAGAGAGGACCTTATTATTATTCATTTTTCACATTTTGTCACATGGTGTAGAAGCAATGTGTTTATATGACTAAGTTCTATAAATGCCATAGAGATTTCTATTTAAACAGTCGTTTGCCTTAAATGGGCCAAAAACTATTTTCCACTCTAGACTATAGTTCATTTTCTTCTGTCCAATGTTCTCATTGCTCTTACACAGACCATCTACAGTTCCATGTGTAACAACACCCCGTGTGTCATCGTGGAGGGTTCTGGTCGAGTTGCTGACATCATCGCACAAGTGGCAAATCTTAGTTCCTCCAGAATTACCATCAACCTCATTAAAGAGAAACTGCGGAATCTTTTCTCGGACTCGTATGAAAGTTTCACAGAAGCTCAAATCATCATGTGGACCAAGAAAGTGAGTGATGACCACACAATGCCTCATTGTTTCTTTTTTTCTTTACCTCTAAAATATATACAGTCTAATGCCTTCTACACTGTATAGTCACATGAAGTACCCTGGTATTGGTTTGCTTCTGAGTTCTTCTAAAAGTACATTTCCTAAATTCTGGTTTTGAACCTCTACTAGTTGTGAATGTCTTTGAAAGTCTTTGGATAAAATATAACCTTGACCTCATTGCAGATATTCACACGTGTCTCCAAATTTCTCCTGTGTCCACAGATACAAGACATTGTCCGCATGGGGTCCCTGCTCACCATCCTCCGGGAGGAGAAGGTTGGGGATCAAGGGATGGATGTGGCAATTCTGCAAGCTTTGTTGAAAGGTCAGAGATTGACACCAGCAGACAAAACATCTCTCTGAGGCTCCGTAGTGCAAGATGTATCCTCTTTCATCTAGATCAGGGGTCTCAAAACTCCGGCCCTCCAGCTGTGATGAAACTACAAATCTCATGAGGCTTTGCAAGATTCTCACAGACATGACTCCCGGAGAGAGATGCATCATGGGTTTTGTAGTTTCACCCCACAGCTGGAGGGCTGGAGGTTTGAGACCTCTGATCTAGATACTTGCTCATTAAAGTGTATCTCTAGCCAGAACTTTTTTCTTTTAGTTTTTGATAGCATAGGGAAGGTTTAGATTTCCTATCAGGCTGTATCGGTCTCTGTGTCTCTGCTGGAAAGAATAACCCTCAAATATATTGTTCTGATGACCTTTGCCACCAAGACACAACATGATAGGAAATCCACAATTTTACAGTTGTCACCAGAACAGTTGTCACCGGAGGTGAGGGGCACCTGTTCCAGTGCCTGCAGATTTCCCTTCATTTACTGCTGTACATCCAGAACAGAAAGTGAACATCCAACAAAACTCAGGCAGCAATAAAATGCATTCCTTACTCTATTCAAAACTTACAGGGTTATTCACAAAAGGGTGAAGAGTTTGGAGAAGGCCGGAGAAGTAACCATTCTAGGACAACATCGCTGATTTGGAAAAAGTCTCCAATTCAACTCACTTTCCAGTTCAGCGATGTTGTCCTAGATTGTTCCCTTCTCCTGCCTTCTCCAAACTCCTCACCATTTTATGAATAACCCTGTAAATAAAAACCATTGTGAAAAACAATATTGTGCCGAGCTAATAATCATACATATCTAATAAATTGAAACATATATAAGTGAGTCACATATATGAGCCTTCAAACAAATGAGGCATAGAAAATATCTACACAAAGACAACAAAGCAATATAGACAATAAAAAGTCTCAAGGAAAAAACAAAAGCAAACAATGGTGATTGTGCAAAACAAAAACAAAAAATCCTTCAGATGATTCGCAGCCAATCTGCATATAACTCTCAGGCAAGGATAATCACACAATGCAGGCAGACCTTCACCTCCACCCAGTGAGTGATGACAACAAGTGAGTGCTCACCTGGGGAGGTAGACCTACAGAGCTAGGTCAAATGCGCTTTTTCCCTTCTTAATGGGGGAGGGAAGCCCATGCACAGAAAAGGCGATAAGGTCTCCTCAGATCACAGGTACCAGTATAAATCCAGGTGGAAAGAGAAAAAGGACAAGGACATAGTGCGTAACGTCCAATAAAAATGCAATTTATTAAATATAAAATGTGTACTCACAATGATATAAACAGTACAGGCATTAGATACAATTTAATGACATTAGAAGCCTTACTAATGACACCTTTGACTGTTTCCAAACGTCACTGTCATTTTACTGAGTGCCCCTTACCGTGTGGTATTTTTTGTCAGGAACCCCTGAAGTGAGGGCAGATACTGTAAGTACAATATACACGTCTCCGCCAATACCTCATGCTTCATAACAATAATAAAATAATCCTCAAGTTCGCTTTTACAGATCACGTATTTGTTACGCCTTTAGGCTGTTACTTCGAAAGTAGTTGAGTTTGCAGATGTCCCCCAAAGAACCGGCATGAAGTACCCTAGGTGGACCCGTAGCTTTGCCTGGAAGCCTTTGCCGGGGAGGTCAGGAGAGAGTGGTCAGTTTATATATCCCCACCAGTTACTGGTTAGGGTGTGGAGAAGCCAACAAATACATGAAGGGGCACAGAAACACTATGGCGACCTACTAAGGGAAGTCTTCCTAGAACGTAAGAAGGCATCATATAATGACCATAGATCTCTCTTTCAGCCTCTCACAGTGCAGAATACAATGGCCAGGAGAACTGGGACCATCAGCTGAAACTCGCCGTGTCCTGGAACCGGCCAGACATTGCAGAAACTCAGATCTTTACTGAAGACTGGACATGGAAGGTTGGACAAACTTACTCTTTGTTGTCACTTCTGACCCGTTCATTGCTTCCCCTCATTGTGATTATCATGATAAAATTCTATGTTGTCTCTAGTCAGCCATGCATTATATTCTGATATGACCACAAGGTAGGAACATATACAGTATTTTAGCATGGTTAAGTTGTACTTTTATTACGCCGGAAACAGAATTTGTGGTGACTTACTGAAGTCTTGTTGACGTTTGCTAAATGTTTCCAATGTAAAGCTTCTTCTTGCTTGTCTTCTAGCCCTCAGATCTGTATGACTGCCTGACATTGTCATTCATTGAAGACAAGCCTTCATTTGTGCGCCTGTTCCTGGAGCGTGGAGTCAGTCTGTCGGAGTACCTCACCTGGGAGACTCTCACCAACTTGTACAACAATACAGATCCGTCCAGTTCAATTCACAGCAAACTTGAGAGACACGCCACAGTGGAGGGATCAAAGGAAGTTGTTGTATCTTCCATAGAACTTCATCATGTCTCCCGTGTCCTGCAAGAGCTTTTGGGAGACCTTACAGAGCCCCTGTACCCGGAAGCCAAGCGTAAGCGTATGGCACAAGTCAACATCAAGGTGATGAATGTGGCCTTTGTAAAATGAGAAGAACCTGAAATTCTCAGACACAGACTCAGAATGATATTTATAGATCCTGCCAGGAAATAAGACATTGGGGCGCATTTACTGAACGTTTGGGACCTGGTAGTCTTATGTTACAGGTTAAGGCTTTCTGTATCTCAGAAGAGCATATAGTATGGCGGCTTTGTAGGAGATATAAGGATTAGAAAACAATGGTCTTTTATTTAGGGATGAGTGGAGTGATTTCTTCGGAATTAAGTTACTTAGGTGAAATTTGCTTGAAAAACTCTAATGTTCTGTAGTCATAAGGTATCTATGTTTTTAGAAGGTCCATTTAGGGTGCTTTAGTATGTTTACTGAGCTTTATATTTGTGGGCTCTCTCCTTTTTCTCTGTGTTGTGCTATTGGTAACTAGGCAGATATAGCTCAAGGAAATAGGGCTCTTCAGCTACCCAATAATGTCATTAGGAATGTCCCAGACCCACTGACTTGGTGATAAATGTTCTCTCAGGGTGAAGTTCTTGTCCTCAGATTGTTGAGAATGATGGGCACCAGTCACTTTGCTTAGGTTTTAAGATATTTAATAGCCCATGTGCACAAAGATAGTGAGAAGGAAGGTGAAGGGAGCACAGGATACCTGTATGTGTACTTAAACACAGTCCTTGGTCTTTTGCATGTCTTCCAGACTTCCTGGGTCACTCTCTCATTGGGCTCTACTGGCTGGGCACTTAGACTTGACAACTGAGGTTCAAGTTACAAATGTAAGCCGGCAAAAAAATTGTTTTGTCTAGTTTCGGATGTTTCATTATTTCGTTTTTCGGGATTCGAGTCTGAAAGTCAATTCGTTTAGGCATTCGGATGATTTTGAAATTTTGTTAACTTTCAGATGAGTGAAATGATCATTACGATGACATTTTTTTGCAGAAAAGTGACATTTACAGGGCTATTCATAAAATGGTGAAGAGTTTGGAGAAGGCCGGAGAAGTGAACAATCTAGGACAACATAGCTGAACTGGAAAGTGAGCTGAATTGGGGAATTGATGCAAATCGGCTATTTTGGCCTAGATTGTTCACCTCTCTGGCCTTCTCCAAACTCTTCACCCTTTTGTGAATAGCCCTGTAAATGTTTAGGTCTGGTAGGAGGGATGTTAGGGGACCCCTCATGAAAAAAACAAAACAGCATGCGGTTCCCTGACAATTAATACCAGACCTGTTAAGTCTGGTACGAATATTATAGGGGAACCCTAACACCAAAAAACCCCCAAAAAACTTGCAGTCCCCCCTAAAATCCCTTACCAGACCCTTAATCTGGGCAGCAGCCTGGCAGGGCAGGAAACGGAAGGGGGGGGGAGGGACGAGCAAGCGAGCGGCCCTCCCTCCATCCACCATACTCGGCAATGGGAGGGCGAACTTTCTCTCTAAGGTCTGCTTCACATCAGGCAGGGGGTGGTGCAATAGCAAGCCTGCTATTGGTTATTGCACTTTAAAATAGCCAATATCAGAATGGCTGCCTCCCACTGCCTTCTGTCAGTCCGCAGACGAGCGGACCTGGGAGAGAAAGTTCTCTTTCAGGTCCACTGCTCTGCTGATTGACAGAAGGCAGTGGGCAGAGCAATAGCCAGGTTAGCAATAGAAAGGTTACTGTGGCGCTTTCAAATGTACCACCTCCATATGGGGGACAACCGCAGTACTGCTCCTTCTAGGTTTAACTGCACTCCACGGCAGCCAGTAACTTCACAGTGACCTCCCAGGAGGGGAGATCCCCGCAACTTCCCACACCATGAGGCTTTAGGACAAGACAGATGGTCAAAGATGCATGGAAAAAAACCCTGGAGGCAAGACCCATGCGCCAGGAAGTGCCTCCGAAATTTAACGCTCCCAGCATGCACAGCAAGCACATCTTTAACATGTAATCTAACATGGTTATCTCTGGAACACCGTGCTGGGACAAGCTCAATACAGCATGTTACATAGTATTTGGGGTTGAATAAAGACATACGTCCATCAAGTCCAACCCATATAGGTCCACGCATCATCTCATTCTTAGGGATACTGGTATCCCTGGATTTTATGGTCCCTCAAGAAATTGTCCAAACGTTTCTTGAACAAATCTACACTCTTGGCTGAAATCACTGCCGATGGCCGATGTGACTGATCTAATGACTCCATACTTAGAGAGCACAAGCCAGCACACTTCTAAGCTGACCAACATCTCACAACCAGATTACAAAAAGAATTTAGGGACACACTACATCCATACATGTGCATTTTATTTGTTATATTTATACTGTTGCTTAAATATTTTTTATTTGACTATTTTTGGCTGTCTGTGCTTTATGTAAAAAAAAGGTAAAAAAAACCCCAAGCAATTCAGTGGCTGGTTTTGACAGGCCCAGGATAATAAAAGCCTCTGTAAACGCTCATTAGCATTTAAAGTCAATTGCACCCTTAAAAACCCACAAAAATTACCTTAATTACCTATATCTCATCCATACCTATATTGACTGGTGCCTGTCTCTGGCTTTTTTCTCATATGTTGCTCTCTCAACTATTCCTCCTTTTAAGTCACTTTGTACTCCTTCTACTAAACCTCTACGTTCTGTCTCTCTGCTGCTTTTAGTTCTTAAACAGGCCACCAGTCCGGAAGGGGGTGCAGATAGTACTATTCAGTCGGTAGAGTTAGGATCTCTAATTTGTATATTCTTTCTTGACATTTTCTCTGTTTTGCCCATCTCTCTCTGTTTTCCTCCTTCTTAATTATCTCACCCCTTACTTCTTGAGAATGGTTGGCGTTGATGTGGATGGAAGTAAATGGAATAGGTAAAAGTCATGATATGAACCACCTCCTGTTGTAGGATCTCCTTTAATTTTGATGACCTGCGATGACCACCTGGTGTATCAAAGAAAAAAATGACAATTATATGTTAGCATTGGTTAAAAACATGAGTCTGATATGAATTTTGTATCCTCAGATGAATGGGAAAGTGGGAGCTATGAAGAAAAACAAAAAACACCAGCAGATGGACCACCCCGTGAGGGATCTTCTCATCTGGTGCATCGTGCAAAACCGGGCTGAGTTGGCGGACATCATCTGGAATCTGGTAGAAAAATACTCTTCCATCCAGTCTTTGCCTTTTTTTCCCGCCAGTTGCCGATGTTCTGCAGCACAGGGTGTACCCATCCTCAGTGATCAGAAAATTAGAGATATAACAATGGACTTTCATTATGGTGGGCTTTAAAACTCATGAAAAAATAAATGCCTATCAACAGGTTTTCCTTTTTTTTTTAGTATCAGCCTAAGACAATTGTTCCTCATTGTTCTCTGATACAAAATGTCATGTTTTATTTGATGGATCAGTCCACAAACATTTACATTTATTTCATTTAATATTACAATTATTAGAATAAAGTGAAAAAAACAAAAATTTCCTCTAGATCTGGCCTAATGCTTTCATTTCCTTCTCCTGACAGAATCAGGACAATGTGGCCGGAGCCCTGGCCTGCACCAAAATCCTGAAGGCTCTTTCTAAGGAGGAGGAAGACTCTGAGAGCGTGGAGGAGATGACAGCACTTGCAAACATCTATGAGGAACGAGCTGCAGGTAAGACGTATATTTTAACATTACAGCGTTCAGTTTAATGGGGAACGGGAGGTATGAGTGCCCTGTTCACTGCAGCTTCAAATCCAATAGGGAACAGGAGGTGGGAAAAAACTGTGGTGGTTGTCTGTCGCAGAGGCGCCCGTGTGGTTGTGGGTTATGTAGGCAGTGACAGATTGCCATATAGTATCCAGCTGCACATGTTTGTACACACACCATAGATCTGAAAAAGTGACTTGGAGTCACAAAACGCGTTTTTTTTGCGTTTTTACAAATGATATCAATTGAATTAAGATTCACTATATCATCGGGACTTTACTCTGAATCAGTCAAGCCTACAACACCCACAACCACACGGGCTCCTATGCAACAGACAGCCACCATGGGTTTTCTCCAATAATCTTCAATCCAGTGTGGTGAGTTTCCTCTTCCGGGCTTATTGATGCCCCAGGTCATTGAACTCACTTACTGTGAGTCCAAGGTGCAGGTTGGAGCCTTGACACCTTGGGCTCACAGGAAGTGGGACTTTTGCAGCATTCAATATCTACCCTCTGTCAGAGGAAAGGGAGGGCTAAAAGAACCCTTGACATAATTGGACCCGGGTGAAGGCCACCAGTCTGCAGGTGGAGCTATTTTTAAACTTGTTTTCCCCATCTCCTTACTACATGATAAAAAAAGCCTTTCAATCCTTCTACCCATTCATTCCTCCTATCCCTTTCCCTGAACAGGAGTGTTTTCTGAATGTTATCGCGGTGATGATAAACGAGCAGAACTTCTCTTGATCCATGTCACCTCCAAATGGGGAAGGACCACAGCCCTGGAACTGGCTCAGGAGTCTCAAGCTTTGACCTTCATGTCACAAGGAGGTGTCCAGGTTTGTCTGCCATGTATTTTTTTGCCTGACCTAATATAATATGCCCAATACAGAAATGTATAGCCTATCCTCACTCTGAACTGACATATTGTGAATCTCAAGGTCTGCATTATATATCCAGCCATAAGGCATGAGGCACCAAGGTCTTCATGGAAATGCTGTATTTCTCTGTTACAGTTGAAATGTAGGAAAAAGTCAGTACTCCCTGTAACGTACGTATGTAAATTAACCTTCAGTCCTACCAAGCATTAACCAGTCCCCTCCCCTTTTCTAATTACATCCGTTCCTCATGAGTCCCCTCCAGTCACCTTTAGTCTCAGCCAGCTCCCACCAATCCAACTAGTCCATTCTAGTTACCCCCTGTGACGGACTGCACCATCACTTTGCTAGTAATCGGTGGGTAAGAGGCCAGTCTGCAGCCCCCTCCAACTAGCAAAGTGATGGTGCAGTCCGTCACACCCCCATTCCCCTACATTTTACCTTCAATCACCTCCGGTCACCTGCATTCCCCTCTAGTCTGCTCTGGTCCCAGTTAGCTTCAGTTACTTCTATTTTCCCCCAGTCACCTCCAGCCCCTCCATTCTCTTTAAGTCAACTCCAGTCACCGACCTTCCCCTCAAGTCTACTCCATGCAAATCTATTAACCTGAAATCTACTCCAGTAACCTCCAGTCATTTCCAGTCCCTTCCTGTCACCTTCAGACACAACCTTTTACCTCGAGACACCTCTAGTCACTTACAGTACTCTCCAGACACAAGTAATAACCTCCAGACACCTCCAGTTACTTCCAGTTTCCTCTTACGCCATCCAGTGTCCCAGTCTTCTAGAGTTCCCTCCAGTCTAATTAGTTCCCTGCAGTTTCCTCTTATCCCCTCCAGTCTCCCTGCAGTCACCTCCAATCTTCTCTTGTTTCCAGTCTCCTAAAGTCCCCTCTAGTCTTTTCAGTCTTCTCCAGTCTCCTCCAGCCACCTCCAGTCTCATAGCGCCCTCTTCAGAAGTTTCCAGCCACCATGATCTTTTCTGCAGTATATTTTAAAATATAATCAGTTTCTTTTACTCAGGCAGTGAAACAAGTAGCTTTTGCCTAGTTTTTCTTCTGACTTAGTCAGCAGTTTTACGTGCTAAGGGGCAGATAAAAATGGTGCAATCTCTTGGTCAGGCATTCTGGAAATAAAAATATTGGAACTCGCTCTGTACTGACCTTCACAGCGAAATAGCCAAAAGCTGTCTGGCTCTTGCACCCACCCACAGGGCCAGATTTACTCTCTCTGTTGCCCCAATGCCAGATTCCTCAATGCACCCCGGTGTATGCAGGCTGCATACAAGTGATCTCGGCAACATCGCTGAGACCACTTGTACAAAACAAGTGGCGGCTTCCCCGCTGTACATTTAGCTCTGCTTGCTCACAGCAGGGCTAAATGTAGAAATCAACTACCCACCCGGCGCCCGGGAATTGCATGTCCTTGTAATATTGGAATGCCAATGTTGTCCCTGTCGGAAATACAACAGCATATTTTTATGTACTGTAATTTGTCTTTTGAGCTGTAGATGGTGCTGTAGTTCAATATTAGTCTCTGTGTGCATGCTTCTCTATGAGACACAGGAAGTTCTTTTCTCTTTCTGTTTTCTTTATAATGCTGTATGCATATGTGTAATGTTCTTCTAAGCAAGTAAAACTTAAAGGAGAACTACGAGGTGAGTGTTTTTCACTCACCTCATAGTTCATAGCCGACCTGTGACAATGAAAGTGTCACAGGTCGGCTCAGTAGATCGGGAGGTGAGCGAACACATACCGGCGTTCGCCCCCCTCTCGATCCTGTCACGGCTCTCTGCCAGGGGAGGGGCTGGATTCCCCCCTCCCCGCTCTCATCCGCCAGCACTGACTGGCGGAACGGACGGGGGAGGGGGCGGGTACAGCTGGCTCTTCCTCTAGATAGGCAGAGCCATCTGTCAGTCATGCAGCTGGGCGGATCCAGACATAATTGTCGGGATCCGCTTCAGCTGTGGCGTCTCAGTATATAGAGAGCTACAGCTCGCGGTATACTGAGCCTAGGGTGATGGAAGGAAGCTAGTTTGTGTCCTCCCGTTACCCTAAGGAGAACTATGGGGAAAAGCCCTGACCCCCATAGTTCTCCATTAATTTAGCATTCCTCAAGATCTCATCTTCATCTAAACACAACCAACAGTCCCTTACATCTTATGTTTTTTTAAATGCCATCCTCTTCTCATTGATATGCTGTTTACTATCAGATTCAGCCACGCAGGTTTACCTGTTGTTTTTTTTATTTCTGTTGCCCAAAGATATGCATTGGCTAATGCCATTGTTTACTATATCCTTAAAACAATCTCACCTATCCTCAGCGTTCTTTGTTAGAATTAACCGGTCCCATTTGGTATCATGCAGTAAGGTTGGCAGTTTACCAAAGTTTGCCTTTTTGAGGTTTTGAGTTCTTGTCAAACCGCCATGCCTCTCTTTGTTGTACACTTCTGTAAATGTAATCACTCTATGATCACTGTCACCCAAGTTTTCCCAAGTTGCTTTGACTGCAACTATCTCCACATTGTTTGAAATGATTAGATCTCATATTGCATTCATCGTGGCTGGGACTTCCACCATGTGATCCAAGAAACTGTCCCTCAATAAGTTCAGGAAACGGGAAGCCTTGGTTGAGTGTGCGGTTCCTTTAGTCCAGGGGTCAGCAACCTTAAACACTCAAAGAGCCATTTGGACCCGTTTCCCACAGAAAACAAAACACCGGGAGCCACAAAACCCTTTTGCCATCTAAAATGAAGATAACACGGCATACATCATTTTTTACCTTTATGCTATGTATATAGGTATATGTGGGCTTAGTAACGCACTGGACTCGGGGCTTACCTGAGACCCCACCTGAGTGTGACCCTGCAGAGCACACCATAGATCCTGCACAGCCCATCTGAGACTATCTATGGTGGGCTCTGCAGGGCCTCAGGTGGGCTGGTCCCTTTCACTGTACTTCCTCCTAACTCCTCTTACCTAGTGCTGCTGGGGCCAGGCCTCCTCCACCCCCTCCCCTGTCACCTCTGCCATGCCGCCCCTGGTACAGCTGATACTCATGTAAGAGGCCCCCCAGGCTGCCCAGACCCCTCACATGGGTACCGGCCATACACACACTTCTCCTCTCCCGCTGTCTGTTACTAGGGATGCAGCAGGGAGAGGAGGTGAGTCACAGGACCCTGCACTGCTGCATATTCCACTAGAGGGTTGCCCAGGACCGGACCTCACTGGACCCCCCCACAGCCTCAGGCTGGAAAGGGAGCCGCATCAGAGGGATGAAAGAGCCACATGCAGCTCCGGAGCCGCAGGTTGCTGACCCCTGCTTTAGTCCAATCAATGTTGGGATAATTGAAGCCCTCCATTATAATAATGTTTCCTTGTTTCCCAGCCATTTCAATCTGTGAGAGGAGCTGAGTCTCCTCTCCCTCCTTTATGTTGGGGGGTCTATAGCATACACCCACAATCCGTTTTAAAGTAGGCCCATTCTTATTTAGCTCCAGCCACAAAGACTCCACACCATCACAATTGTCATTAGTGAGGTTGTCTCGCATGTTCACTTTCAGATCACTCTTCACATACATGCACACCTCTCCTCTCCTTCTACCGACCCCGTGCCTCCAAAATAGGTGATACTCTTGTATATTAACTGCCTAATGATGCGAGCTGTCCAGCCAGGTTTCTGACTGTTACTTCCATCAAGCGGAAGTCCTCCTCGAGTAATAGAATTTCAAGATCCTCCACTTTGGTAGTTAAACCTCAAGCATTTGTGCTCATACCCTTTAATCTAGTGTTACGTGGTTTATTTTTTGCCCATTTCTGAATTGCCCAGATATCTTGGGGCAGCCATATAGTATCTCTTAGGGTAGCCAGAGATCATAGTATTTCTATTGCTCATTACTCTGATTTCTGATACCCTACCCTCCTGTGCCACATGAAACAATATAAAGAAAAACTGTCCAATGTCTTCCCGCAGATGCTTCTCACAAAGACCTGGTGGGGGAACCTCTCAGTGGACAATGGCTTCATCCAGATTTTGCTGTGTATGTTGCTCGTCCCTCTCATTTACAGCGGCCTCATCGGCTACAGGTCAGTCATTTCTCCCATTACAGTTATTTATAGATTGCTGAGTATTCTGCCATCCGGATGTCTGGTCATCAGTGTGAATATCAATGGTGAAAGGCCAGCCAGTGTCTGCGTAGTTGGGGGGGCTTAGCAATGGTGGATCTCTGTGATTCGCGCCCAGGGCAGAGCAACCACCAACTCTGCAAAAATACTGATCTTTAACCAGTGAGGATAACACGTGAAAGCTCGGTAGTATTCCGATACCAACGGTCACAGGCCGGAGCAGCTACACATAAAATATCATCTAACCTGGCCTGGCATAGGAGGTACAAATTCGGTCAGGACAGATCTGGGGGCTATGACCAGCTGAACTACAGGCAAATAGATAAAACACATATATTGTGTGTATCTTTCATTGTTTTAAACCCCCATTCCTCAATGCCCCATCTTTTCTAACTAAGAATACCTAAACACCTTCCCCAATGATCTTTTGTGTACAAGAGATTAGGGAAAAGTAATAAAAAGAAAGATTTTATGATATTTAAGGAATATTAAACTGTTCTAAAGGGTTTTTTTGAGTCAGGAGTTTTGCTTTAAGGTGCCAATACACCTATAGATTATCTGCCGATTTTCTGTGGTCAGCTGGAAAAATGTGCAACAGATTGGCCCAGGTGGAGATTACTCCATCCACACAGTTAAGTGTAGATGGAGGAATCTGTTGCACCTTTTCCATCTGACCACAGAAAATCTGCAGATAATTGTAAGGGGTGTGGCCAGCTTTAGGCACTGAAAATGTTAGTTTTGGACTTTGATTTTTTACTGATCTTGTTGTTGATCCAACATGGGACCATGTGCAATGGAATCAATGGGATTGGTGTTATTGGAAAGGGCTGATTGCAGTTTAACAGGACAAGTGAGCTGCCCTGGGCTATCAGACATGCCAGGCCTCCTCCATATCACTAGACTGGCCAGTTTGGTGTCCAGGCCTGATCAATAGTATATAGAAGATTACAGATGAAGAAACAATTTCTAAGGTATCACAGATATATAGTCAATAATATCTCTTGTTATGCTTATATGTCATACACTCAGTTCCTGTCGATGTTTAAACCAGTTCTTGCACCGCTTTTATTGTAGGAAAGGCTTCACAAACTCCCCGTCTTTCCTCGATGCAACTTCAAGCGAGCGGAGAAATCGGAGTGTTCGCCAAGGTCCTGAGGAAACATCAAGGAGGTAAGGCAGAGTGGACATCCTCAGTTATTATATTACCAAATCCGGATTAAATATTATTAGTGTTGACACTGACTATTATGAGCCATGTAATTACCATGTGCTCATAGAGATGAGACGCCTCAAGATTACAACTGTATAAACACAGAGGAGCTAACTGATTCTGTGGCCTGTGCCCACCTTATCATCATCATCCTTACCATCCTGGAGACAGACCCATCTCAGCCCCCTACAGCTGTCAATATCTGCCACCTAGATCAAAGCCACCCATGTCACTGACCATCATCTCACCACAAACCTCTCCATGGTGGTATCCAGCTTCTGATCAAATATCCATCCATAAACTTATTTAATTGCTGAGCTAAGGCCAGGGCCGGATCTACTCTCTCTGTTGCCGTAAGGCCGGGTTCCTCAATGCCTCTCCCCCCCCCAAATGGAGAATGGCAACCTGATGGACGGACGGCAGGGTTTTAATTCTTTTTTTTTATTTTTTCTTTACTATTGTTTTAATTTATATTTTTTTTACTTTTCCATTTTTATTTTTTTTGCTGTGTGATAGCATTTGAAGATGACAGGTTTGC